TGGATGGGCTTGAGGCATGAGATGACAACATTGTTGAGTGCTATTAAGTGGATTACGAAGACGCATAGAGGTTCAAAGTTGAAGTCAAAGGCGGTCTGCATTGCTTTCTGTGCTACCGTTTACTACATATGGCATGCACGGAATGAAATTCGTTTTGATGAAGGCAAGAAGACGGAAGAGGAGATTATAGCAAAGATCAAGCATATGGTGTATAAGATACTCTTTAGTATCTATCCGCATGAGTTGGTCATTTTTTATGTGGAAGCAAAGTATTTTTGGGGGGACCCACGGCACATTGTAGTATAGTGAATTGAGTGCGTGCATCTTGCAACATCTCTATTTTTTGTTTTTAGGGCCGCGACTTTTTAGCACATTGGCTTTCTCTGAGTTTTGTATGATTGAAAAGCTTCTCTCAACCCTCTCCTATACGCTTGTAACAGGAGGGGGTGGGGGAGCTTTAAATTTTGTACCATCTTGCTTGGATGATATATATATTTACGATTGATGCAAAAAAAACACTCATGCTACTTGAACACAAAATTTGTGGACACACTTCCAATTGTCTGTCCAAATGAAAATTCTGAAGTGTTATACATGTGGTCAGTGACAGGTAATGAGTTTGTATATAAAATGTGTAGAAAATTCATTTATAAATAACTTTTCCAAATATAAATACATTGGGACACAAAGGTACAGGTCTGACTCATATCCAACGTTTTTTTGAATCATAACAAGGTACTATGCACACAGTTCTCAATGAAAGAAATAAGGTGTCATTCATTCGGTGGTTCATTTCTTTGATCACTCTAGAAAGATCACAACTTTATACAGAGTACATTAAGAGACCGTTTGGTAACACTGTTTTTCAGTTTATCAGGCTTATCATCTAACTTTTTCACCAAACACGTAACTTTTGCTTTCGCGCGTTAAATTGTGTAATAAGCAGAAAAAGTAAGGTTGGAGTTACTTTTCTGGCTTTATTGGCTGAAGTTACTGTAGATGACCATTTTAACTATTTTTACATATAATTTTTTCTTTATTTTATTGTTAAAATATATTTTAAAAATAATTGTTTCTTAAATCAGCAGAATCAGCCAATGCACCCACTTCAGCCTGAACTTTATAAATTTCACTAGAATCAACCAAAATAGCCTATTTTGGTGCTAGCAAACGGGCTCCAATACTCACCCTCTCCTTTAAATTTTTAAACCAATGTTTCATTTTCTATTTTAATCAATTAATTTATACATTTTTTTCTTTCCTGTATAAATTTCAAACACTTTTTTTACTTTATGATTATCAATATCGATCAAGATAATGATTGTTCTTAGTGTACATTAAGAGACCATTTGGTAACACTGTTTTTCGGCTTATCAGGCTTATCATCCAACTTTTTCACCAAACACGTAACTTTTGCTTTCGCGCGTTGAATTGTGTAATAAGCAAAAAAAGTAAGGTTGGAGTTACTTTTTTGGCTTTATTGGCTGAAGTTACTGTAGATGACCATTTTAACTATTTTTACATATAATTTTTTCTTTATTTTATTAATAAAATATATTTTAAAAATAATTGTTTCTTACATCTGTAGAATCAGCCAATGCACCTACTTCAGCCAAAACATCATAAATTTCAGCAGAATCAGCCAAAATAGCCTATTTTGGTGCTACCAAATGGGCTCTAATACTCACCCTCTCCTTTGTAATTTTAAACGAATGGTTCATTTTCTATTTTAATCAATTAATTTATACATTTTTTTTCTTTCCTATATAAATTTCAAACACTTTTTTTTTACTTTATGATTATCAATATCGATCAAGATAATGATTGTTCTTGGTGTACACGCCTTGTACATCTTGTGTCTAGATGGACAAAAGCAAAAAAGAAAAAAAAATTGCTTGTACACATTTGGAATACACTATGAGCCCCTTTGATAGTACAAAAATTGGGTGATTCCGTTGATTCTGCTGAAATTTATAAAGTTCTGGCTAAATAGATTGTATTGGCTGATTTTGCTAATTTAAAAATTATTTTTAAAATACTCCTCCGTATTTTTTGTTTGCTACAATATGTGTTGGCACATTTTTAAGAGTGAAATAATAGGGTAATGAATAGTGTAGAAAAAGTAGGAGAGATAGTGGAAAAGTATGAAATAGAAGATAAAAAGTAGAAAACGTAAGGGTAGTTGAGTACTTCGTATTTTTTTAAACGAAAAACTTATCAAAAAAGGAAAATGTAGCAAATTTTTTAATACATCCAAAATTGAAAACTGTAGCAAGCAAAAAAAATACGGAGGGAGTGTATGTTATTAACAAAATAAAGAAGAAATTATATGTAAAAATAGAAAAAATTGTCATCTACCTTAACTTCAGTCAATACGGCCAGAAAAGTAACTCCAACGTTATTTTTCTGCTTATTACACAATTCAGCGCGTGAAATGAAAAATTACGTGTTTGGTGAAAAGTTGATTGATAAGCCTGATAAGTCGAAAAAAAGTGTTGTCAAACGGCCTCTATAAGTGTTTTATATTTTTATTATTTAGAGCTCGTTTGTGTAATAATAAGAAGAATATGGTTGGAGCTACTTTTATGGTTGTATTGTCTTAAAATTACTCTAAAGGACCATTTTAGCTAATTCTTCATGTAATTTTTTTTATTGATTACATATATTTTAAGTATATTTTTTCATAAATCAACAGAATCAGCCACTACAATCACATCACCCAGACTTTCATAAATTTTAGCAAAAGCAGACGATTTAGTCGATTTAGTGTTACCAATTTGGCTCTTAAATTTTACTACCTCCGGTTTTTATTAAACTTCACACTTTGACTTCACACAAAATAAGGAAAGAAATTTGACTTTACTGTAGAGTACGCTGTTGATGCACTGTTTGACACTGTTTAGCACTGTTGAGACACTGTTTGGCACTGTTAAGACACTGTTTGACACTGTTTGGCACTGTTTTGATGTAGATTTCTTTGCCAAAAAAGGAAATAAGGAAGTGTGAAGTTTATTTTAGACCGTCCCAAAAAGAAAAGTGTGAAGTTTAATAAAAACCGGAGGGAGTACATTTTAGTCTAATCTCTCCCAACCATTTACTTCTCTCCCCCTCTCCCTCTTGCATCTTTTTTCTTCAATTTTCATCACCTTCACACCTAGCCGCATATTCTATCTTCATCATATTCACCATCTCCATCTTTCATCATCTTTCACTTTCATTAACCTCACCATATTCATCACCTTATTGTCTTTACTGTTACCATCTTCTAAGATTGGAAAATAAAAAGTTTTAAAGCCGCAAGAAAATTGCAGATGAATATTTAATTTGCTAAAAAAAATCTTGTGTGATTTACATGTCAAATATTGTTTGTGCCGTGCTGGAAAATGATATAAATTGTCTGTAACATTTTGTAAAAATCCACAAGGACAAAAAATGTCTATATATAGACACATTTTAGTCCATGTGTTCTCGGACAAAATTGTTAAGCATAGAAAAAAATTGTACAAATTACCTGTGCTCAGACAACTATTGTTTATGCACACACATTGGTTTCCATGCAACCAAACTCTGCCATGTCTGCAACACATCACACAAACCAATGTTTGTACACAAACGTTAGTTGTCCCTATATAGATGCGGGCATTTCTGCCTTCTTGAAGCCTTAGCTTTGCCGCCAACTCACTGACTTCCTCGCCTCCCTTCTGCCCTACCGTACAAGCGCCATGCGCCCTCACTCCACCTTTCTCTTTCTAGTCTCCAGTTGTGCCAACGTCTTCTCCTGACGTTGGTTCTCCCTTGCCCTCGCCTTATGGTTGCAGCAGCCTGTCTCCTGTGGATGCGGGCAGCATGATATCTTTGCCATTGTCCATACCACCTTCTCCATCCTTGCCTCTTCTACAGAGGCATGCTCATTGCTCATCTCCGTTACCAAACCCCATCCTCTGCAATCCTCTCTGCTTAATATTCAACCTATGCGGACTCGCGCAAAGTCATAGATTTTTAAACTCAAAGCCATATTTAATTTAAATACAAATGTAATGACATGTGATCCAAACCGTTTTTCTAGTGCTAATAAAGATCTTAAATGGAGAGGTTACGATAGAAGAATTTAATGCATTGATTATTAATCACACATGTGATTTGGTTTGTTTTGATTCTTCTAAAAATATAAGTGTATCTAAGTGGATTTATAAGATAAGATATCGTTTTGGTGGTTTTGTTGCGAGGTACAGAACTCGTCTTGTTGGTCAAAGTTTTAATCAACAGGCTGGGATATAGTTTTTCGTGAAACTTTTAGTCCTGTTTTCAAACCTACCACACTTCGTATTGTTCTCACTTTAGTTGTCTCTTTTGATTGGTCTATTCATGAGTTAGATGTCAAAAATGATTCCATTCATCGTCATCTTACGAAGGATGATAGTGTGGAATTCTTGTTATGCATGTTTGTATTTGTAACCATTTTTCATTGTTTGGATACGAACCTTACCACAATATACTATGTATAAGTGCAAGTATTGATTTTATCTTGAGACACACAATGACTTTAGTGCTGTCAAAGAAAGTTTATGTGTCAACCTCCAAATTTTGTTCATCACCGCATATGAAAAAAGGGCTAAAGGTCTAAACCATAATAATTGAATAATACACAAAAAAATTACTACGCGTCTACGCGCAATATTTATAAGGAATTTCTTGTTGTATACCAAATTTCTACATAATATGTTTACAACTTGTGTACACAGGCAATTGACATACATTTACTAATTATTTTAAACGAATTATATGTGTACACAGACAGCAAAGAAGTGTTTTTAAAAGTACAAGTTAATTATAATTTTGCGTACAAATATAATATTTCTACATGGTAATTATTTATACTACTATGCTTCGTGTATATAGTAATACACGACATTTTTACACAGCGGTCAAATTACCTGTGCACAAGGGACAACTAGGGAGTTAACACGGCAGGTATATAGAAATTTTTAACAAGGGACAAATATATAGAAATTATTTGTTACACGGCGGGTAACAAATTTTTCATTTTTAAAGAGAACTGTTTTTCATAGGAAGTACTTAAAAAATATTGTCTCTGTCGTAGACAAAAGAAATTATGGATGCTAAAAATTATTCTCTTTTACAAAAAGAAAAAAAATGTGCACATGCATCCCACGGGTCATGGTCAATCTCCTTAACTACAGCCGGTACTAGCTAGCTAGTCAACAAACAATTACCACTGCAGTTAAATTTCTGTTGAAGAATTGTTGACCCCTAGATCAGTTACATTGAGCTGCTAAGTAATATAGGCGGCCAGATATTGTGCTGCTTGCCGTAGACGTACGACGGAGATTACTCGATCCAGTCATTTTTCAGAATGGAGCAGATGATGTTCTGCAAAGCTTGCAGTTTTTGTGGGAATCTGCCTCTATACGCAGCTGTCCATCCATTTCAAGACACACCATTAATAAAGTTAGTTAATAATTATCCATAATAAAAATTTAGGGATTTTTCAAAAATATTATCAAAATAAAACTTATTTACAAAATATGATTTATTGTTACTACAATGTAATGTCATGATAACTTAACTTTATAAAATAAACATAAACTTAACTTTACTAGTCACAATTTGTCAACAATGTTTATTTTGTCATAAATATGCAATTAAATATGATTTCCTTTGTTTTTGACACATATCACTGAAAAGCCAAAACAAATCTCGTCATATTTAAATATTGAGGGGCAAAAATACTCTTATTAAAAAATTGCATTTTAAATTTCTTTCGTCAATTTTAAACTATTGCACTTTATTGCAGACGTTATAGCACGACATTACTGTACTTCATGAACACAAACTGCACGACATTACGAAAAATTTTAGGAACTTATCGTTCTTTTTTTGCTTTTTAGATATGATAACTTTAATTTTTACGTCGGATTAAATATACTGCGATTTATGTCGGCGTTACTGCATGTTAAGAATTTTTGTTTCTTTTTATTCTTTTTAGATTTGAGAACTTTAGTTTTTGTGGCTAATTATTTAATATATTGCATTTTATGTCAGCGTTAATGCTCTGCATTACATTACATTACATCTTGTTATATTCACTGTATTGAATAAAAATTATTCATTGCATTAAAAAAATTTATTCACTGTGTTCACTACTCACTATCTTAAGATTCACTGCCCATATAGTCTTCAATCATCTTCAACCTTGCATTCGTCTTCAATCTCCGGTTCATCTTCATCCTCAATGGCCTTGGCTAAAGAATCTGAGTTGTCGGAGCGGTTGACGGGAAGCGTTCTTTGGGAAGATCGCCAACCCCAATTTTCAGGAAATGCAAAAGGAAGGAGAAGAAGAAAGAGAAGGAGAGGAGAAGGAGGAGTAGGAGGAGGAGAAAAAGAATGAGAAGAAGCATAGGGAAAAGGAATAGGGGTAGGGGCAGCGGGAGGAGGTTGGGGGTTGGAGAAAGGCGGGTGACTTGAGACATGCGGCGTGTGGGCGGCTGGAGGCTAGCAACCGAGCGTCTAGTGGAGGCTTGTCCGGCATCCAACTGTAAACGGTTGACGGTTGGCGGTTTAGGGTTGGTGGTTGACGTCCAACTTCCAATTTGGTCCATGTACTATCACAAAAACGTCAATTAAGTCCTCGTATTTCTAAAAAATATCAATATAATCCTCAAACATTTAATAACTGTTCAATGGAGTCCATTAGCAGGTTACCCGCCGCGTCACCAAGTCATCTGTGACATGGCACACATGGCATTTGAGTCAACAATGACTTTGCTGACGTGGCACACACATGACTTCCCTGTCAACAGTTACTTTGCTGACATATCGCACACATGGACTACCATGTCAGCAGGTGCCCAGCCAACGTGACAGTTAAAACCTGCTAATTGACTCAGTTGGATATTTTTTCAAAATTGGAGGGTTTGATTGATTTTTTTCAAAGTATGAGGAATTAATTGTCGTTTTCGTGATAGTATGAGGACCAAATTGAAAGTTTTTTCTTAGAAGGGAAAACTATTAATTTTTTAATTTATTTGCCCTTTAAATAATTAGTCCATATAAATTATTTGTTAATTTATTTATCAAATAAAATTATTTAAACTTACCAATTAAATATTATTTTGGGGAAAAACTAACTAAATCATGGGAGAAAGTGAGAGTTTTGTTCGGTTAATTACTGATTTGATAAACACCATTTAGCTAGGTGCCCTAAAAATAAGACAAAGTTCAACGATCAATACGAGACAAATTAAGGGAGCAATAATAATTAATAAACTATGATACGTGTCTAGGTCTATGTGATTAATTAATTTCGGCGATACAATGGTTTAATTAATTCTACTCTCGATCTGGTGCGGCCGGAGGCCCGGAGAAGCATAGCTAGCTCTGGGTGTCTGTCTTTTCCGCTTCTAACTAGTACCTCAACGATGAAGTATAGATGGAAATCAATCTTTCACCCATATAGCTTCGGGTATACTCCGTATATATACTACGTATATTTTTTTTGGAATATACTCCGTTTATTCTTTAAACAGCTTATATAAGCATTCTGGAATATTATTCTTGAGGAATAATACTCGCAGGCGAGTGGGACATAGTAGAGATGTGCAGGTTTGGGCAGACGCATGGTTGCCGGGACAGGGTTCGGGGCGAATCCAGTCAGCCAAACCCCCTGGGGTCCGAGATATGAATGTGGCAGCGTTGAGGAACCATACGGGGAGGGAATGGAATAGGGAGAGGATTCATTCTATTTTTGAAGCGGTGGATAGAGATCAAATTTTAAGCATACCGATTAGTAAAGTGGACAGAGATGACGGCTACTGGTGGACAGGGGAGAAAAATGGGAATTTTTCTGTTAAAAGTTGCTACAGGAAGTTAGTCAATACAGTCCCGTCCGGAGGAACAAGTAGTTGGGCTAACTTGTGGGCACTTGAGGTACCTCCTAAATTTAAATATTTTATTTGGCAGGTACTGGATGGAATGCTCCCTACAGTTGATAATCTAAGTAGAAAAGGCGTGCAAATCAGCGAAAATTGTCATCTCTGCAATGGAGGCTCCGAAGACCTCGAACACGCCTTCTGGGAGTGCGTTTATGCGCAGGAAGTTTGGCAGCAGGCTAGTGGAGTGACTCAAGTGCAGGAGTGGATTAAGCATCAACTCACACATGCTAGCAGAGAGCAACAAGGAGAGTTTGTGGCCCTATTTTGGGGTATATGGAAGCGGCGCAATGCTCTTGTTTGGAAAAATGAGTGGCAAGGTTCGGCAGGAGTCATTAGCAACGCATTGAGCATGATAACTAATTGGAGGATGGCCCAAGGACCAGGGGCTAAGTCAAAGAAAAAGCCCAGTGAGAATGTGCAGGTATGGCGCAGACCGGGGAGGGATTTTATATTAAAATAAATGTTGATGCTGCTCTGGAGCCAAATAGTGACAAAAGGGCCTGGGGTTGGGTGGCAAGGACTGAGCAGGGGGATTTCATTAAGGCGGGAGGAGGGTCTGCCAATGCAGGATGGTCACCGACGGAAACAGAAGCGATTGGGTTGAGGGAGACTATTCAGGAGGCGATCACAGCGGGCTGACAGAGAGTGGCTTTCGAGACAGACACACTCTCAATTGTTCAGGGTATTCAGCAAGAGGGAGGTTTGTCTTATCTGGATCTTATCCTGGGCGACATTAGAGAAATTTTGACAACAAAGAATAATTATAGTGTTTCTTTTTGTAGACGATCTGCGAATCGTGTAGCTCATGCACTGGCTAAAGCACACGTTGTTCTCTCAGATCATAGGAGTACCTTTGATATAGCTCCTCATTATATTGTAATCCATCTGGCAAACGATTTTATTAATTAATTAGAGATGGTGGTTGATGATAAAAAAAAAAAAGCATTCTGATTTTTGGCGCTATCCGCGATACATGTATTGTGTTATTCACTTGCTAATTACTCCTAATTATAGGGAAAAAATGAACAGATATTATACTCTGTAATACATAGTACTTCCTCCGATGTATCTAAAAAATAGTACTCCCTCCGTCCCGGAAAATTCTTCCCGGTTTGGCTTGGATCGGAGTTTAAGAAAGTGAGAGTACAGTGAAAATGTATGGTTGTGGTTGAGTAAGAAAAAGGTAAATGAATGGTAGACACACAAATCTTTCCAAAAAGGGAAATGAGAAGAATTTTTGGGACATCCCAAAAAGGTAAGTGGGGTTCATTTGCAATGGAGCCAAAGATTCATTTTTTTTGCTTGAGAATATGATGGAATAAAGCAAAATAACTCACTAAACTGTCTTTCGGTATGAAGCAGCAGTTAGTCCATGCAATTTTGGACGCGATTTTCACTAAGGGCCATCCGGAAACAGTCTTTCTATGCTTTAGTATAGGAGTAAGACTGCGTACATCCGACCCCCTACCTCACCGTATATGGGAGCCTTTGCGGCACTGGAGTAAATGAAAATGATGAAATGGTCCCAAAATGGTAAGAGAAGAATTTTGTGAGATGGAAGTGGTAAGATTTAAGAGGATAATTCTAAAAAAAAAAATAAAATAAATAAAAGACAAAAATGGCTGCCGGTTTCGTCTATCATTTATTGATCTGTTTACCTCTTGATATTCTTCAATGAGCTTAGATTTCTCTTTCAAAAGGAGTTTCACTTCTTGCTCTAACGCACTTGTATGAGCCTGCATTTTTGTACATACATCATGTCAATATGTTATCCATACATACATACTTCTCTATGATAATTACTTTCAACCAATATGTTATCCATACATACATACTTCTCTATGATAATTACTTTCAACCGTTAAATCTTACTATTTTCGTCTCTTAAAACTTTGACAAGTTTGACCGGCACGAAGATATCATTTTCATTTTCATTTACCCCTGTGCCGCAAAGGCTCCCACCTACGGTTGGGTAATGGGGGTCAGATGTACGCAGTCTTACCTCTGTACTAAAGCACATGGAGACTGTTCTCTGGATGACCCATAGTGAAAATCGCGCCCAAAATTGCATGGACTGACCGTTGCTTCATAACAAAGAAGCAACAGACAGTTTAGTGAGTCATTTTGCTTTATTCCATCATATTCTCAAGCCAAAAAATAATGAATCTTTGTATAGAGGAGAAAGTACTAACTCAAACCACAAATTCATTACTTAAAATGGAAAGCAACAAGTTAGTGGGACATCCAAAAGGGAAAATTTGCAAAATTTTAAGGGACCGATGAAGTAATTAATTATATTCGAAAGTGTATCCTAGAATCTCATCTGTTCACCTCCAACATTTATCTAACTGATGATTCCCTAATATAGTGAATTACATATTAGTTCCAAATTACTCCGTATAAGTTTATCACAAAAGTCAAATTTAAACTCTTTTTTTAAAATATTTATGAGACTCTAGCTATTGAAACAAATAGGTGATATATAGTAATGAAAAAGAGGATCAAATTTCATTTTCCGCTAAATATAGAGTCTCATCAAACAAACTTTATACGAACGTTAGTACAAACTGCGTATATACATGTCCCATGTCACATACTTCAGTTTTCATTAATAATTAAAGCGTAAATGTAATAAAATAAATTTATTTATAAATAAAAAACGAAACTAAATACTTAATATTAAATAAAATTAATAGAAATAAAAAATTAGAAAAATAAAATTAGAAAAGTAAAAAACTTAAAACAAAAATAACATAATGTAAATAAATAAAAACATGTGCAGACTTTTGTTGCCGCCTTAATAATCTTCCAGTACCGCCATCTGCGACCACCAGAAAAAAATGATAACATGTGTCTGTAGTATCATCTTGATGGCAAATTTGGAGAAAAAAATGACATTTTTAAAAAGTAAAAATATCATCTTAATAGCATTTCCAAAAAAATGACTGTTTTTACATAGAATGGAATTTGTTTACCAATCGGTGGTGGAAGGGATTGTGTCAAAGACATCAATAATTTTTTATATTTTTATGTGTTTTATGCATCGAGTATTTTTGAATTTTTTTAATTTTTTAAATTAAATTATTATATAATGTTTTAAATATATTTTTTCTATATTTTTTGCAATTTTATTATGAATTAAAATATTTTTTATAATTCTTATGATTTTACCCAAATTAAATTACGGAGTATGATCTTCCAATGAAGTTATGTAATAGGAAAATAAAATATACTTTAGTCTTCTTTTGAGAAGATAAGTAATACTCCATATAGAAGCCGTTTGGCAATACTATTTTTGTTGGCTTATCGAACTTATCAGCCAACTTTTTCACCAAACACGTAATTTTTACTTTCGCGCGCTGAATTGTGTAATAAGCAGAAAAAATAAGACGAAGTTATTTTTCTGGCTGTAATTGGCTGAAGTTAGAGTAGACGATCACTTTACCTATTTTTACATATAATATTTTCTTTATATTATTAATAAATATTTTTTTCTTAAATCGGTAGAATCAGGCAATGCAGCCACTCCAACCAGAACTTCATAAATTTCACCAGAATCAGTCATAATATTATTTGTGCATTTAGGGATGAATTTACTAATATTTAGGATTATTTTCCTTAAATTAAGTGATAAATAAATGAGCTTAAATTAGAGAATAATTAGAGTGTACGCATGAGTAGAGAATACTTTCCTCTTTTCTTGCTCTAGAGCGAGCGGCCGCTTCCCGGTTCTTCATCATCCGCTTATGCCTGTGGTCGGCGGGGAGTGTTGGGTGATTGGTGAACCCCTCTTCCTCCGGCCGCTGGAAACCGGAGATGAAGCAGCGATTCGGCGGCCATCAGGGGAAACGGAATAATGATGAGGCAAGACAGAGGTGTGGGCATCAGCTGGTCCGCAGGAGAAATGGATCTCCGGGACATTGCTACATAGGCTGAGGCTGGGAGGCGGCGGAGTGTTTTGGGCGGCGAAGGGTCGGCCTAAGAATTCGTGCAAAGCGACGCCGTGGGGGGCAGGGGGCTTCAAGTGGTGGAGGGAGGAGAGGTTGATGTCTTCCCAGAGGTCTTCCATCGCCGCCCGGAAATCAAAGATCGATCCGATCCGATCCAGCTGCGCTTAAATGAAAGCTTAAAGATCGTTAAGGAATGAACGAATTGTAGGTAAGGTATTGATGCAGCAGCAGCTGCTAATAAGCGCTAGGCCTCACTCACTCACTGTTTAATCAGATCAGGACGTACTACTACTCTACTATTCCACCATATCTATCACACACGCAATATTAATTAATTATTACTCATATCTATTAGCCTCGTCTTATTGGTTAGTGCAGGAAGACGTAGCCATAGGTGCATAGCTGATCCATCGAGCAAAGATGCCCTCGAAAAGGCGAAACCCAGACTCCTCACGTACGTCCAATGTTATTTAAAGCCATTGTCAACTTTATTCAAGAACCAACGTCCAAACCTTATTTCAAAAAAAAAAATGGCCTCACCTAACATGCAGGGGCGGACCTAGAGCACTAGGTCGGACTGGGTCGATATAAACAATATATTTTTGAAATTTTTTTACATGGAATTTTGTACACTAAAAATACAGGCATTTTTAAAATTTGGGCTGGGCCAGAGCCAGAGATGACCCTCCCCTAGCTCCACCCATGCTAACATGAATCGATTCATAATATCAGAGTTAAAAAGGAAACGAGCATACCAACACAACTAGTTGTGAAACTACCAGTTCATATGTGAGGTCTCGTGTTCGAAACCCGCTATGCACCAAAGGGAAGATGATGGGGGTCTTGCTCCCAATGATTCTTCCTACCTTCATGGAGTTGCTCAGCGCCTAAGAGGGGAGAGGATGATAATGCAGCTTTGCGGATTCGTGTGGTGGGAGGACTCCCTGGATAGCTGGGCTATGCGGGCTGACAGGCTTTGGAAGTCCTACTTGATCTGCCCTGTGGAACCAATACCGACAAGGCTGACTATGATCAGATCTGGATTTAACTGTTTAGGGGCTTTGAAGGGTAGTTCATAGACTCCGTGACTAGGGGACCGCAAGCACCGACACCCTGGATCATTAAAAAAAGAGTTAAAAAGGAAAAAAGATAAGAATAATATAAAAAAAAAATAAGATAGAGATCGATAAATCAAATAACATAAGAAAAATAAGAAAGGATATACTGAGTATAAAAGAGTATAAAAAGATAAAAAAACGAAGTAAAAAATAACATGAGGAATTGCCCCAAATAAGACTAAAACATGCTCAAAATTCCAAAGTAGGAGTTTAAGTATTAAATCCCCTAAATAGGACTCCAAATTACATGTATACCCTTTATCGAAAAAGTCATCGATCAACCTCTTCTCCTCCCAACCCCTGCGATTTCTCCCTCCCCATCGGCCGCCACCTCCATCGATTGCAGCCCCTCACCTGCGAATCTGCCACGAACCAGGACAACAACTTCTCTGCCATTGGCTGCGGTTCTGTGATCATCGAAGCCCGCACATGTGTTTTGCGATTTCTCTGACGAAGTGTATCAGGTACTCTTCCTCTTTTTTTCATCTTCTTCTTCTTCATCTTCTCTTCCCCCTTCTTCTTCACTTCTTTCTTCTTCGTGATTTCTATTTTTGTTTTGTCAATTAATGTTATTGCTTTCAAAATCCAAAATAAAATTTTGGATTTGAAAATTTCAGATGAAGAGTCCAATTTAACAACAAAGTGAAAGAAATGAGTTTGAATTTTTATATACTATGTATTTATCAATTTTGATTAATTTCAAATATGAGAATATCATAACTATTTTGTGTTAGAAAAATGCCACAACTATCAATTTCATGACATTAAACGTATAAAGATGTCAGTTTTATTACATAATTTCCTATGAAAAATGCCACAACTATCAATATGAAAATACATTTTTTTTATCTAAAATTGATATATTTTTTATAGCAGAAAATGACACTTTTTATATGAAAATGTCATGGTTATGTCACAACTCTGTTCTTGTTTCTCTACTTTCTTTTTTAATTTGAATCTCAAAATGCCCTGGCTAATGATTCTCGAGAAAATGTCACTTTTTGAATCAAAGAATGTCATAATTATTGATTATTTTTTAAAAATGTCACCTTTTTTAGTTTACAGTATTTGGAAATGGCATATTAAAGAATATCAGGTTTCTATTCGAAATTGTCATTATTGTGTCATTATGCATATTAAGTGGCATTCTCGCATATCAAGTGACATTCCTCATGGAGGTCTGCACAAACTCACTAGGGGGCAGATCCTTGTCGTAGAATGATGGAAGCGTACTCACTGAGGGGCGGAGGTGTCACTAGAAGTGAGAATGCCACTTGAGTAAAAAATAACATATATAAGAAAAATGTTACTCCCTCTGTCCCCCTAACTTTGTCCCATTTTACCTTTTGTGTTTGTCCCTTTAAATTTGTCTCATATCATATTTGGTAATATTTGAGTGATTACAATTCATTCTTATATTATTTACACTTTATCAATTCAATATCAACCTCACCATTTTCATTTTTTCTTAAAAATTGTGTCACACCCCTTTGTCCCAAACATAGTGGGATAGAGGTAGTAAA